AACGATCATGGCTGAAAAGAGGGACACAACGCCTTCTGCAGGCAAAGCGTAAAGCCTGGTTCGCGTGGCGACGATCGAAGAGTCAACCCGAATATGAAGTGTACCTTGAACTCAGGAATCGATGTAACATACGAGTCCGGAGCGATAGAAGGACATTTCAGGGAGACCTCGCCAATAAGCTTCTCGTGAACCCCAAAAGCCTATACAGGTTTATGGCCGAAAGAAAACCGACCAACCAGGGAGCATGCAATCTAGTGGGTTCTGATGGGAAATCTCTTACTAGTCTTGAAATGGCAGAGACATTCAGCCTAGCCTTTCACAGGCAACTAAATAGTAACGAGGATATTACCCCTACAGAACATCCAGATTACATCGCAGAACCAACACACGAAAACCTGCTGGGGACATTTCAAATTACCCCGGCTATGGTACTTGCAAAATTGGGAAGGTTGGCTTCGGGAAAGTCTCCAGGTTGTGATGGCATCAGACCATCTGTCCTGAAGCAGTGTTCAGAAAGTCTCTGTCAACCCCTAAGTGATCTGTTCCAACACTCCCTTGATGTAGGGAAACTTCCATGTGAATGGAAACGTGCAATCCTATCCCCTATCTTCAAGGGTGGTGACCGGCAGAATGTGACCAGTTACAGACCAGTTGCTCTACTTCCAGTGGTATCGAAGATATTGGAAAGTCTCATTGACGACCACATGAGAAAATACTTCGATGGGACTAACCTTCTTCACGAAGCACAGCACGGTTTCAGGAGGGGAAGATCCTGCGTGACGAATCTTCTACTAGCCTGGAACGATTGGACACTATCCTGGGACAAAAAGGTACCAGCCCACGTGATCTTTCTCGACTTTGCGAAAGCATTCGACACAGTTCACCATGGTCTGCTCCTTCACAAAATAGGCAAGGCGGGAGTTTCTGGAGCACTTCTCGCATGGCTGACAGATTACTTAGGCGAGAGAGAATTCTGCACCAAAGTCAACCGCATCCGATCATCTTGGCACACCTCGGCATCAGGGGTTCCTCAGGGTTCTATCCTAGGGCCGTTGATGTTTTTGATTTTTATCAATGACCTGCCCCCCCAACTAAACTGCTCTGCGCTTCTTTACGCTGACGACGTAAAGATTTGGAGAGCAATAAACTCATCGGAAGACTCAGATAGATTGCAGGCTGACCTGCAAACTCTGGGAAATTGGGCTTTGGCTAACGGAATGCCTTTCAATCTAAAGAAGTGCAAAGTAGTGCAGCTTCATTCCGGCAGGTCACAGAGTGTAAATTACACCCTTGGTGGCCAGAACTTGAGTTGTGTTCCATCAGAGCGTGATCTAGGTCTTATTCTAACAGAAAAGCTAGACACCAGTGGAAATTACTCGAGGGACGTCGCCAAAGCCTACGCAACATTACACTTTATGCACAGGCAGCTGGGAGCTCTCACTCCCGAACTGTTCTTAAGGCTATACAAGGCATATGTGAGGCCACACCTTGAGGTGCATAATATCATTGCACCTTGTTACGAAGGTGATTGAGTCTTAGAACGATGAGTGATGCTTGAATCTTGAAAAGACGAATGAACCAAGAATTTAGGCTTTATTCATTTTACAATGAAGCCGGAATGGCTTAAACATATAAAGGAAAAAAAGAGTGTTAATAGCGGTAGAGATATGAATATGACTAGATACGTATTATAAGAAAAGTTCACAACATTCACTGCGGCTTGAAAAGGAATGAGCCATTATGTCACGCTTCTCTGGTACGCAAATTGTAAGGCCGTACACGTTGTTGTTTTTCCAAAAGAATACGCCCGTTGTTCGTTTCAGTTGTATTTTCTTCACGAAGAATATTAGGATCAGTGGTCGCATCCCCATTTACTTGTTGCTCAGGAATTGCGTCGCCCTCCGGTATTGAATTTTCAACTTGATCTATATCTTCGCCTTTGGGTGCCAGATGATGAAGAGCAACTGTATCTTCACGTCCATTACCGAAGCGAACGTGAGCGAATTGCGGGTTACAATTCAATAGCTCCACCTTTTCAACCAGGGGATCGAATTTGGACTGACGAACACTCCGCCGGAGAAGTACTGGTCCTGGCACAGTGAGCCAAGTAGGAAGAGTTGTCCCAGATGTCGATCTTCGGTTATAGGTAAACAGTCGTTCGTGTGGCGTGGCGTTCGTTGCAGTACAGAGCAAAGATCTGATGGAATGCAAGGCGTCGAGTAGAACAGACTCCCATTGTGCCGTTGGTAGGCCCCGTGATCTTAATGCTAGAGTGATGGCACGCCAAAGTGTTCCACTGAGGCGCTCGACCTGCCCATTGGCTTGAGGATTGTATGAGGTAGTACGACTGGTTGCTACGCCTTTCTCCAGAAGAAATGCCCGTAATTCGGTAGACATGAAAGCAGCGCCTCTGTCGGTATGTATGTAAGAAGGCATACCGAAAATCGAAAACAGTTGGCAAAGGCAATTCATTACCGTTTGAGACGACATGTCGGGGCAGGCGAATGCAAAGGGGAATCGAGAATATTCATCGATCAGCGTGAGCAGATAGTGATTGCGGCTAGCTGACGGTAGAGGTCCTTTAAAGTCGATGCTTAACCTTTCAAAAGGTTGGGTTGCTTTTATGAGTTTGAAATTAGAGGGATTGTAAAATTGAGGCTTTAACTCACAGCATGTCACGCATTTACTGGTTACATTGCGCACCTCGTCAAGGGAGAATGGAAGGTTTCTCGAGCGTACAAAATGCATCATTCGGACAACTCCAGGATGGCACATAGAGTCATGGAGAAATTTCAAGTCGCACACTGACTGCAAGGAACCGCAGAAACTACGGGAAAATGTATCAGCAGCTTGATTATCCCTTCCAGGACGATAAATGATGTCATATTGATAAGGGGATAGCTCAATTCTCCAACGCATTATTTTATCGTTCTTGATTTTGCTTTTATGAATCTTGTCAAACATGAATGCTACTGAACGTTGATCAGTGACAAGTTTGAAGTGATTTCCGAGAAGGTAATGCTTCCACTTACGAATTGCTTCAACCACGGCATAGGCTTCTTTCTCAACCGATGAATGATGTTTCTCACTTCGAGAGAGGCTTCGAGAAAAGAAGGCGACAGGTTTACCATTCTGGTTTAATGTAGCTGCAATTGAGACATCTGAAGCATCTGTTTCAACAACAAGGGGTGCTTTCGGATCAACTACCACAACGACTGCACGTTCTAAGTCGTCTTTCAGTTTGTTAAAAGCATTTCGAGTTTCGATATCAAGAGGGAAAATCCGATTATTTACCAATGGGTGGATTTTATCTGAGAAGCGAGGGATCCACTGTGAATAATAAGCAAATAATCCAACGGCCCGTTGTTGAGATTTGATATCTGTGGGTGGTTCTAGATCACGAAGAGGTTTTAGCCGATCGGGATCTGGTTTGATAACCCCCTTTGAAACTTCATAACCGAGTAATTGTATGCTTCTGCTTGAGATCACACTTTTAGAATCATTAAGGGTTATTCCATAATTGCGTGCTGCTACCATAAACTTGTTTAGATTTTTGTCGTGTTCCTCCTGAGTTTTGCCGCAGATAGTGACATTGTCAATGTAGGCAAACGTGCTTGTGAGTTGTTCTTTACTGATCAATTCATCGATAATGCGTTGAAAACAAGCTACGCCATTGGTAACACCAAAAGGAATTCGGCAAAATTGGTAAAGTTTCCTACAAGCCTCGAAAGCAGTATATGGTTTATCTTCGTTCCTTAGGGCAATTTGATGATCAGCATTCTTCAGACAGAGAGTGCTGAATATGTCATATTGTGCGATTTTTTCTATCATTTCGTCAATCCTAGGTAATGGGTAAGCATCCAGAAAAGTGAATCGATTGATTGTCTGACTATAATCAACTACCATCCTCTTTTTATGGCGTTCGTTTGACGTAACAAGAACTTGAGCTCTCCAAGGAGAATTAGAAGGTTCAATAACACCTTCTTGCAGTAACCGGTTGACTTCGGTGGAAATAAAACTTTCATCTTCACGAGAATAACGCCGGGATTTTATCGCGATCGGTTTAGCAGTTGCTGGTGACTGTTGGTGTCTTGGGTTTCATGTTTTGCTCTTTTTACTACCTTCTACTTCGTGTATAAAAGTGAAATTCAGCGAATTGCAACCCTGTGCAGTATTACTCCATGGATGGTGTCCATCTGCGCTTATCACGTCTTACTTCATAGTCGGCACTTTCATCCATAAATGGTTTTTTTAACTTAAATACATGTCCGTGAGTTGAACAGGATAACCGAATTCTTCAACATACTTTGTGTACTGTAATTATTGACGTTCCTATAATTTTCTGCTAATCATTAGATATAACAGAAAAGGGCTTGTCTTGTTACTCACTGTTAAGTAGGAATAGTTGGTAATAATAATAATGAATTTCACTCAGTCAATCCTATGCCAGTACACTTGGCGATAATCCACCATTCGGCTGCACAAACTTTCGTAAGTCAAACGAAGTCCAAAAGGGAAAGCACCACTAATTTTTTCTGTTTTGAGATATGAAATTATGCCTCCAACTACTAGTCTGAACAGTTTTCTACTGCACACTTGGTGCTGGTGATACATTATTGCATGCTTTCAATAATATTGCTCTTTTGATCTTTATTCCGGTCTCACAAATATCAGATAACTAAAGATAAGATGTGTAACCTAGCCTTGTCCTAGCAAAATTATTTCAGAAAAGTCAACACTCCAAGCAACAAGCATGGAAATACATTCAAAATTCCAATATACAGCTTAATTTTCATTCGTGTCTCTTCTGTGTCACTAGTCAGTGTTCGTATCATAACTTCTAGATTTTTATATCTGTTCACTGAATTTTCGCCTAATCTCTTCTTGTTATTCCATGTAGGTGTTTTCACTTGAAGAATACAATTTAACTACAGTAAGCTTCTGTGATAAACATTTACCTGCAAACAAAACGAAGTAGTAACTGATTGTTACAACGCAGTATGGTTGAGAAGTGGAGTGAAAAATGTCAGGATATTCCTACTGTTTTTAAAGTTAACGAGACTGCAGATTGGATCAAGAAGGAGAAATTTAGTAGGGTAATGCAATAAATATCTTTAAAATTTTTTTAGGTTGGGTTACAATTCCCCGATGAACTTTTGGGTATATCGGTTGTTGTTTGTAGGCAGTTGAATAGCCTAACTGATAGTTTGTGTGCTATTCTTGGAGATAGTTCATTCGCAAGGTGAGTAGTGTTTCAGAGTTCTTTAACTAAATAAAATGAATCATTGTGTTACAATTACAAAAGATTTATTGACAGTGTCTTTCGTAGGATAATTCAAGTTTAACGTTATTGTTGACTGTTTTTCTTCCATATTAATGTGTTTATTGGATGCATCATACGTCGAAACATTATTGTTCATGAATTGATATGATAACGAACAGTAAGTTGGGTTCAAAATGTCATCTAGTGAATAATACTGTTTCACTATGTGACGTATCCAATTAACAAATTAATGTGGAATTATATACTACCTTAGTGTCCAAGTTATATATATTTCCTCTTATTGGCTAATCTGTATGTTAACACATTTGTGATGTCTGTCTGGATTCAACATAGAACTTGGCACTGAGGTGCACCAGTTCGAGTTGCCACGTTCCAAATAGCGCACAAAGGTACACAAGAAGATGAGTGGAGAGAATCAATACAGTCTGACAAGTATAAGAGTGAAACAGAATGGGTAAATGGTAGAAAGGAATATGAAAGATTACAGAGACTGAATACATCTGCGCTGGCCATTGACAACGATTTTGAGCCATGTCACCTATTGTCTCCAGCCATTGATTCCTAGAGTCCCGAGGGTCTCAACCCGAAAGTCTGCATCTCCCTACCTGACTCAGTTTAACTGTCGAGGATTTCATAGATTGATGCCATGTTTTTGTTTGGCCACCACTGGCTCTTTTCCAACCTGCACCTATCTATATCAGCTAGTAAGGCCCGTCGGGGGAGGCGGTGGTTAGGCATGCGCACCACGTGACCTAGCCATCTCAATCTATGTAACTTTATAGCCTCGTCGATTGACTTCCCCTCTTTGCCCAACACTCTACGTCTAATGTCAACATTACTTACCTTATTAAACCACCTAACGTGAGAAAGAAATCGCAGACATCTATGATCGAAAGCAGTCAACCTTTTCATGTCTTCAACTCGTATTGGCCATGTTTCAGAGCCATAGAGAAGGACGGAACGAACTGCTGAGCAGTACACACGTCCCTTGGTTGATAGCCGGATGTCACGCCTACGCCAGAGATGGTGTAAGTCAGCGAAAGCAGCTCGAGCTTTTTGGATCCGTGCTGAGATTTCATCGCCAATCAGTCCGTTGGTGCTGATACAACTTCCCAAATAGGTGAAGTGGTCAACATGTTCTATCACTTCACTCCCTATCACATTTGTGATACTTTGTAATGAAGAATATTATCCATGGAATTTAGCATTATCTTTTTATTGAGTAAATAGGGGATGACATAATTGATATAATTTCTTAGAAGTGGTCTTAGAAGTGAAAATAAAAGTTTTAAATTACATAATAGTGAACGTCACAGCGGAAGGAAGAGTTAGGAATTTGATAAAGTTAAATTTGTTATTGAGTGAGGATTAAGTTAGTTGATTGTTTCAAGTTTAACAAGTGTGAAGAGGGTGTGAAAATGTACAACGGGAACATATGAGATTGATAATGGTGAATTAATTATTCAAGTAAAACCAAACTAAAATTAAATTTTAAGAATATTCTTTTTACAGGGAATGATTAGTGAAGAGGTTAAGACCATGGTAGAATAAGAGACTGGACTAACTTTTTCTGTGTACAGAGTTCGGGGTTGTATTGACGAATTGTTAACACTCCCGTCAAACACAAATGCCGAAGCCTGACACCCTTTTGTACCATTTGGCGTCACCTTGTAGACAATCTTGAAAGACGACTCCAATTGTTCGAGAATTGAGCTAGTAATTGCCTTGCATTGTCCTTTTGCTAACCATGCCGGATAATGTTCAGAGATGCGTTTGGAAAGTTTGCGCTTTCTCCGGCCAATATAAGTAGCTCCACACGAGCAGGTGAATTTGTATACACACATTGAAGTGGCCCAAAGCGGTAGTTTATCCTTCACACATGCATTGATCATTTGTCGGCTGTAAAAATTGATTCGTAGCTCAGCCGAAAAGAAGGCTTCTCTTAGTTATCTGCATAAGCGTTTCTTCAGGATCTCAGTTGCGTTATCACCTTCAAATTCAACGTTGATAAATAGCAGTTTCTTCAGCACCGTCTGGGTAATTTCAGGCTTTTGCTTTAAAATCATGTTATCTCTATGAATCTTGGAGTGTATCCATTTTCGACGCTAGCTTGTCTGAGTCGCTGCAGTTCCTCGTCAATTGTGTCACTGGAACATATCCTTCTTATTCTTTAGGATAAGGAGTGAATCAGACTTCTCTTCTCAAAGGGACCCAACTACGAAAATTCGTGTATGGACCATTCTATGTTGGTTTCCTGTAGATGGATCTTCGAAGAAAACCATCAGATCTCCTTCTTAGAAAAACATCGCAAAAATGGGATTCCGAGTTCATCTCTGATTCCGACATGTACTGGATGGCATGATGGTCTTAATCTCTTCAGTAGTCATTCCCTGTAAAAAAAAATGTTCTTAAAATTTAATTTTAGTTTGGTTTTACTTGAATAATTAATTCACCATCATCAATCTCATATGTTCCTGTTGTACATTTTCACACCCTCTTCACACTTGTTAAACTTGAAACAATCAACTAACTTAATCCTCACTCAATAACAAATTTAACATTTTTTTGTAGATTCAAGTAATCGTGCTCAGTTAATTCCCATCTGACTAATTTTTCTATCTCAATTTATGGTATTTACCAGGCTGGGTATATCCTCACCTGTATCAGATAAAATCATCGAGCAGGCAATGCAAACATGGTCATGAACGGAAGTGGCTAGAAAATGTAGTAACCTAACTAAACGATAGTGCATTTTATTGTACAATGATAGTTGAAATAAATGCACATAGTATTTGTCATACGGTGTTATACAGTAAAAATTCTACTCATATATATAAACGAAGCAAGAAAGCAATGTGAATGCCTTGGTGTGATTATGAACAATAAGTTGTGCTCGAAACGTCATCAGTAAATACTACTGTATAACCCTGTGTGACTTTATCAAAATAAAGTTTTATCCATAATGGAATTATACTCTACCATAGTGCCAAAGTTCTATCCTTATACATAGTATCGGTGCGTGCGTACTGATGAAGAGTCCCAAACTAGGACGAAACAGCTGTCCAGTACTCCCAGGTTTTCCAATGGTTCTCTAACTGATATCAGCTCATGATCAAAACCGGTAACCAATAGTATCTGGTTGTTATTCGAGTTTTATATTGCTGCTTAGACTGTGTAGCTGTTTTGTTTTTACCGTGACTGTTGCAGAATCGAAATTGATCACTTTATTGCAAATATAAACGTTGACTTTATCTTCAAAAAATTCTGTAGTGTTACTCATTATTTATCTCTACAGGTGTACCTATCGTATGAATCTTGATATTCACCTGGTATTGTTGATTTTCTATTGTTATACTGTTGTAACTCGTCTGGAATCGATGAACTGCCCTACTTTTCTACATCTTTTTGTGTTGTGAATTTTTTTGTTTTCTTTTCGATGAATGTTTATGAAGATGTCGACCTCTATTATTTGTCTGCATAATAATTTCCCTTTGATAATTTTCACTTCTTATTCTTGAACCGCGCAAGTGGTATGTGCAAGGCTAGTTCTGCAGTGTTAACAATTGAGCTTCGTTTCATTCTAGATTGTTGGTTATGCCTTAGGTAAAGGATTGTCTTCATTCCTTATATCCTTCCTATACTGTTCGAGGCGTATGTTTAACATGGATGGTTGTTATAAATGTCTACTAGTCAGTCAGTTTGTGTATCAGATATTAACTGAATGCATAGGCATCCGTTGTGTCGAAACCTAGGATACTATCGGACTGCTTGAGTACGTGTGGAATTGGTTTCGAGCACCTTGTTCACTAGTTGAACATTGAATTTTTAAATCATCTAACCATGATGATTCTGTAATATTGTACATTCATCGAATTATGATAAATTCGAAATTCACCTTGGAATGGATTTTTTATATTGTCTTAAGTAAGATATGCTTCAGGCTTATTGATTTCTAAGACTTCAGAAATAGCTGTATTGAGTTTAGTGTAAATTTTATGTGCATACTGACATGAAAGTTGTATTTTCTCCCCATTTGAATGTATTTTTACCTTCCAAAAGGTTGAATTGATAAATTTGTATATTTGGTGTACTTCAGTTGTTGTGTTGATGAAATAGCCGGTCAGCATGTTAATGTTGATGCAGTTGTACACTATGGTCGAGCGTGTCTATCAGAAAATACTGGACGTATACCAGTTTTCTATGTGTTTGGCAAATATTCACCATGCATTCCAACTGAAATTGAAACATGCTACAATCAAGTTCCACTTAATCTGGTTGAGAAAATCTTATCCTATTTAGAAGACCTGTCAGTTATTGTGATTACTTATGATTTTCGTTTCAAAGATGTTGCTCAAAGAATGTGTAAAGAGATAATGTCAATATGTGACTCACGTGAAATTAAATCTCTTCGATTAATTTGGTCGGAACCATATTTTAATACGTCGGCCAATAAAACAGAGAAAATTTCTGATAATTCACAAACTAACCAATTTATTCGTTGTGGAAGATTATTTACATCCACTCAATCTGAATGGAGTATTCCAAGCAGTACCAATGAACGTAGTTGGCATATGCTGTACATCGGGCATACAACAGAAACTGAATCTGACCTACTTCCATTATATCGTATTCTAGTGTCTCTACCGGAAGTCAATACATTTACAACTTGTGTCTTTGATCCAGTCACTTGTAATTTAGATGTATCTGGTATAGAAGTTAACCGATTATTAAAGAGAAGAACATATTTAATTGAAAAAGCTAAGGATGCACAGTTTATTGGGATTTTGGTAAGTTCATATGTGTATACCATATCATAATATTTTTACAATAGTGTTTTATTTGTTTGTAACTCTAGAAGCTGAAGTATCGATTGTTGTGCTGTTAACCTATTGAAAGACATTTTTAACAAGGTGAATCATTAACTGACCTAGAGGCGTTGAAAACCAAGGAGTACTAAAAGGCTATTTCTTCCTAAGTTATGTTCTTAATCCCCAGTGGGATCACTGGTATGTGCTGCTGGCCAGTTCAAATCAAGGACAAATCAGCTGTCTAGTACTCCCCCATTTTGAGGCAGTTTTCTAACTGACATGAGTCAGTTCGTCATCTAACTTAAAAGTGATCAAATTCCTACAAACTAACACTTGGATTATTTTAGCAGATTTTATGCGTTTTATACCAGTTCTAATAAATTGGGCTTTTAAGTTGTTTCAGGATTTTGAATTATATTTTGCTTTCATACTCTTGACTCCAGTGTAGCCAGTATCTGGTGGGACTTGTGTAGTTATGGCTCTTATTGTAGTGGGCTATACAGTGTTTACAGTGAGGTCATTTATTGACTTTTGAGTATCTGATTATTTTGAGCTTAGAGCTGTTGAATAAAGTGAACGTCGGTGTACTGGTTGTTTATCAACAATTATCCGTTTTTCTTGTTAATAGCGTGGGATTTGAACGGAAACAATTAAGTGTGGACATTAGCGTTTGTTTCGAATATCCTGTACATCAAAGATTATAGAATGGGCATGTTGCGGTTAGTTTCCCTACGTATGCCTAAAATTATGGTGATCATATTTGTTGGCAAAAAGCTTTTCTCATAATTTAATGTAGTGTTTTCTAATTATAATAGGTCATATGTCTGTCTGTCATATATATATATATATGGTGACCTATTGTGGTATACTGATGTTCTCTAGCGTTATCCAGTTATCAGTATATTATTAAAGTTTTGTCTTGAGTATATTTTACAGGTATCATTCAGAAAGAATGCTGCCTTTTGACTACAACTGTTAATTATAAAGAGAAAATACTCTGTGTATAGTTGACTGCAGAATTATTGTTAAATGTGAAATTTTGGTTAGAAGCACTGAAATGTATTACAGAGATTGATACTGATGTGAAAACTGATACTGTTATGAGACAGACGTTGGAATAATGAAATGCAAAATCAGTATGGGAAGCGTACATGTCTGTCTACATCGAAACTTGCAATTATTTCATCTTCCAATATAAGTCGAGGTTATTCCGTTTGTAGATTTATACAATTTCTGTACTCCATATGGTACTTTCATTTCACATGGCTTCAGTATTCACGAAGTGCATATAGAAATGCTTTAAGTTTAAGTATTAGAAAAATCTAACACTGTTCGTAATGGGTTATCTGGTTCGGTCTATGAAACCAACTTGGACAGTAACTTTGTGGTGCAAGTGAAGACCAATTTAATCGACCGAGTGTCTCTTTAATTAACTGAAATTTTCCTACTTTCAGCCTTTAATTTATTTGAGTGATAATCCTTCACTTTTCCATGTTCACTTTTTCGTAGAGTACAGTGCTTAGATTTACCCTAGCCAATTTCTTCATAATCTAAAAAAACTTGTAGCAACAGTGGTTATTGCCCTCATATCAGCTCTTGTAAGGACAAAGGATTCATCTTTAGGTAGCTGTTTCAAGGCGTGTTATTCTCTGTTGCCTATATATGGCAAATATAACTTTTGATTTAAGAGTGTAGCCAAGATTTTGTGTCTTATAACATTTACCAATCTAGTTGCTATGCATCTCGACGATGGTTCAACAGCTCCAGCAATTTCGTAGGGCTGAAAATCTTTTATTAAAATTAAAATTAAGTCCATTCTAAGAAGTGGTGTGTGTTGGTGGCACGCAAGTGCTTCGGGGTCCGATCCCCGGCCAACACACTCTTTTATCTCTTTAGGCCAGTAATGATGGTGGTAAAGGGGGAAGACTGGACATGAAGCTAACATCCCCACCCCGCAAAAAATAAAAAATAAACTTCAAAGCTCTAGTCTGAAGCCCTATGCTCCACTGCGAATGTATTCTTTTTTTCTTTTACTTCATGTTCCCCAGTGGAACATAAGGCTTCAAGCTAGTGGCTTGAAGTTTCTGTAGCAGTGTTTATTTTACAGGATGGGGTTGCTAGCCTCATGCTCAAACTTTCCTCTTTACCAGCTTTATTTCTGGCTTAACAAAGTCAAGGAGTGCATCAGCCGGGGATGCAACCCCGGACCATGGGAACGCATAGGATTTATTATTATTATTATTATTATCACTATTATTACTAAAAAGTGATATTTCACAAGTCAATGAGTTAATTTATCTCTTTGGTCGAAATTTATGTAACATCCGTTTTGTCGGTTCAAGAGTCTTATTTACGCATTCTAATGATATTATATAATCCATTATATGATAACTCATAATTGTCGCATTAGATGCATGAGATGAAGTAGCTGGTTGTAGCTAGTCAGCTTTTCAGGTAACAGATATTTAGCTGACTTTAGTATGTTGCATTCAAACAAATTAAGTAGTATGAGGAAAAATCGTGCAATATTTGCCAACAAAGTGGCACAAAATCACAAGTTATCGTGATCGATGGTCGTGGCCATAACGATAACTAAAATCATAGATGGTAAGAGACAGATTAATCGCTAATTTTGTGTTAATTGAATAGACATCTAATACTGTCATCATACATGACCTAATAGTAGTTACCTTAGAGGAACTACATATTTTGTTACTGTTGAGATCAGAGAGCAGGTATGATTAAATTATGACAAGTTACTGTCAATAAATATCTTATGATTGCATTGATATAGTTTTCTCCAGAAAATTCAGTCTGGAATTTCACACTTTATCACTCAGTACTTCATAAAATAAACATAAATGAGTTTAAATTATCGAAACAGTTCCTTCCCGTAGTTAATTTGAAACAACCTAAAACTATGAAAGCAAAAGTATTTCATCAATTCGTAAATTTCGATAGAAGCCGTCACCTCAAAACTCTGCAAACATTGCTACTGTTACCATTTCTGTCACATGAACATTGTGACCGAAAGCTGCTACCTTGACGTGGTGGTCGGGCTTGAACACCGCAATGACCTAATCAAGATATACTGGCTGAGACTTATGTCTCTTGAGGTTCTACCATGCCAGGCAGGTTGTTTGGATAGCGGTTAAACAAAAAGCAGCTACCCAATCCAATACCATGATTCAAACAAATTCACAAAATTTCATGCCGGATCGGCCGTGGCCCGGATTAACAACGACCGCGCTTCCTGCTGCCGTGTCACAGGGCAGGAGTGATAAGTATGCTACTGAGACACACCAAACAAAAAAGAACAAACAAAAACAGGCCGCGCGTGACCGGCCTCAAGCAGTTGTCCCCTGGGCTCTGCGGTCACGCAACCAACTTCCACGGTGTGGGCAGCCGGGAAGTAACAATCGCCCTCACAATCCGAAATGCACACGAAACCTCTCTAATCCTCACTCATCTTTGTCTTCATCTTCATCTCTATCACCTTGCCTTCCTTCCACTGATGCAACTCCTCGACTTGATAGCTCCTCACTCCCTCTCCACTCTGCGTCCACTAAAAACGATGGAAGCCAAAAAACCACCACCGACAGCCTCTTAAAGCCGCGCCACCAATTTCATATAGGAGCTCTTAATGTTAGGACACTTTGTCAAACAAGCATCACTAGCCAAGACCCTGGCATCACGAGCCATTGATGTATGCTGTGTTTCAGAAACACGCATACAAGACCCAAGTGTGGTTATTCACCTAACCCCACCTGGCCAACAGGTTGAATCTGCAAAATTCACCTTGAGGGTGTCAGGAGATGCCACAGCTAGTTCACGAGGATTAGCTGGCGTAGGGATAGCTTTGAGTACTAGGGCAGAAAAGACATTGCTTGACTGGATCCCGGTAGATAGCCGAATGTGTGCTGTCCGTGTGAACGGATCAGTAAGAAGGAGAAAGGACTGCACTACTCGCCGATGCCTTTTCGTAATCTCCGCCTACGCCCCCACTGACTGCAGTTCAGATGAAACGAAGGATGAGTTCTACCAAAAGCTGTCTAGTTTGGTGCGAAAGGCTAAACGCTCAGACATAGTCGTTCTAGCTGGTGACTTTAACGCTCAAGTAGGGAAATTGTGTCAATCTGAGAAGGATGTCGGTGGCACCTATGGAGTTCCGTGCCAGCGAACCGACAACGGTGACCGTCTCCTACAGTTCTGTTCTGATAATCATTTGTTTCTTGTAAGCACTAACTTCAAACACAAGGAGAGACACTGTTTGACTTGGAGACCCCCTTCATCAAACCAACGCTGGACACAAATAGACCACATAGCAATAAGCTATCGTTGGCGTGGGTCGGTAGGAGATTGTCGCTCCTTCTGGAACACGTGCGTAGATACCGACCATGCACTGGTCCGCGCTCGGGTGTGCTTACGACTGAACGGACGTAGGAAACAGCTGGCGGTAAAACCATCACGTCCCCAGCTCGATCAGGAAACTAAATCCGTATTTGAGGAAGAACTAGCTAAACACATATCTGTGTTCGACAGCTGTGCTCACCCTGAAGAAGCTTGGAAAAATATCCAGGCAGCCATAGATACAGCTGTAAAAGCTGTGAATAAGGTAAACCCAAAGGTGAGTAAAAACCACTGGATCTCCACCGCCTCATCCGAACTGATAGATGCTAGAAGACTTATTCCGGCGAGCTCCGAATTCAATGAAGGAAACTTACGAAAAGTCTCCGCAAGGACCGTGAACAGTGGTGGGCGACAAAAGCCAAAGAGATGGAGAAAGCTTCGAGGATAGGCAACACCAGGCAACTCTTTGGACTCATCAGGGAAACGGGTGGGAGAAGACAAATCATAAGTGAGACAATCTCGGAAAAAAATGGCACTATAATTAGCTCCAGGATAGACGACTGGATCGTTGGAAAGAGCATTATGAGGAGCAGTTTAATTTGCCCACAGCCACGCTCAACCTTCCGAGC